AACAAACTTTAGCCATTTTTCTGGTCCACTCAAATCTATAACAGGTAACCGCTAAAGCCTGTCTTTTTAAACCCCTCATCCGACAATAAAATTTTATGAGACTGTCCACCCTCTAAGGTTTTCTAAATTTAATCTGTAAGCCACAACGCCAAGTAAGAGGTAATTAAAGACAGACTTTTAAGTTTACATTATCTTGTACTCCCGTTCTAAGGATTTAGGAACATCCTTTTTATTAAAGATTAAAAGATTTGCGTCCGCAGATAATTATATAACAAAATTTATAGTTACAAATCATTTTTCAGTAATACCTGAAAAAATTGTAACTATATTTGATTTAATTTAATATGTCAAGATTGGTGAATATTGAAATATACCATCCCAAAAATATGTAAGTATATGACAGACTTAAGAAATACTTAACTTAGTACGTCGTAGGTGTAAAACTATATACACTTGCCCCAGCTGACAATAACAGTTATAAAACTATTGTAAACGAAGCGAACGATTTTAACCCTTAGAGATGAGTGGTAGCTGTCATAACGAGGTAGCATGAGTTGTTTTACAAGTTGCATATCTTTTAAAATAGAAATTTTCTTGAGGTGTGATGGAGCCTTAACTAACTACCATATTTTGAATTACTTCAACGTCTTTATAAAGATCAGAGAGCTGTAATAGACATGTTTTTACTTCCAGGTGAATGGTTACTTTCATGTTTTCTCGACGTTTCATGGCCCCTACAGTATAAAAAAATATATCCCTCGTTTCTTTCGTCTGTCTGTTTGTTGGTCCGACTGTCGTGTCGATTATTATTATTATTAGACAAATAATCTTACTGGACTGACTGTTGTCAAATTTTATATATGTACAGTAATAACTTTAAGATGGTAACACCCTAACCAAAATTTGTTAATTATCCCCACCAATAATTTGATCACATTGTCTCAAATTTTTGCATGGTAAATGCTATTTGTGTACTTGTGGTCTATGAGTCTGCCTAATTTTTAACCCTGTTGTAAGAGCACGGTTCATCAATCGCTTCGATGGCTCAAATGGTTCTTACATTGGCTGGTATTACCTTTTTTTTCTAAAAAACTGGATTTGTTTGATTATATATACATCAGGGGGGCGGAAGTTCTATTTAATAATACGAGAGATCAATTCTTTTCGCTGTTATCGGTCATCTCAACTTGAGTAAAAGCAGTTTGAAGATTTCAGCTTAAACTAATTTGAAGCTCTGTTTTATATGAAATTATTTTATATTTTTGCACTGGCAAATTTTCCTTTGAAAATCTAACAAACTGTAGTTTAGTTTAACAAATTTATTATTTTGTGACAGAAAATACTACTATAAATTACAATCAACACAAAACCAACACAGTTAATTTCTGTTCGCTATATTGCAACAAATGTTCACATACGTCACTGGTGGAACACTTGAGCAGAAGTTTACAAACTTTGTGTCCGATTGTTTTACTTACGTGTAATAAAACGGAAATTAAAGCAAGAGAACACGCGACGATCAATTTTTTTTCAAGTGAAATTTGACAGAATATTAGATTAGAATTTTATAAATAAAATTCAGTTCAGTTTATCGCACAGATTACAGAACAAAATAATTACAGAATAAGACAAAAGTACAATAAATTCCTTACATTTTGGTTGCCAAGGAGGACGTGATCAATGGTCAAAATAAATTTTTATTAAGTATATTAAAAATACTAACATTCTCCAATAAATATTTTGCGTCAAAATTTCTACTAGAACACGTATTAACACAACCCCGAGTTTTTATCACGGAAATACCTAAACTAGAAAATTGTTCAAAATAAAAAAATCTAACTAATGGACTACCATATAATAAAAAAAAGAAATGTTGGACGCACCACCGCGTTTCTCGTTTGGTTTGACAATTACGGTCAAATAACTGTGAAATGTTATTTTAAAAATAAATTTCATAGCTTACTAGAGGACACTTTTTCAACATAATTATAGTACCTACTTATTACACGTTGTGTTGACTTTGACGAATTTGCAATTTAAAAACTACATGAAACAGTTAAAGATTCTTAACAAATTAATAATGAATAAAAACTAAAAATTCGGTTATATTGATAATATGTATTACATTTTAGTTGTTGAGGTTAGAATGATGTTAACTTTATACACAGACTGTCCAACAGATGGGTGGTGGGATGCTGAAAAAACTTTAACACCCTTCACTAACACTCATTGGGGACCACAGTTTAAAATTACCGGATGATTTTTTTTATTGCTATCTGTTACTCATTTCGGCCGAAAAGTAGGTATGTCGTAACCTGACCCAGTTTTTAATATAAAAAAATTATAAAATTTTAATGAATTTAGCACCCAATTCTCGTTGTCGAACGATCGAACAATATCAATTTCATTGTAGAGCACAACAAAAATACCCATAGGGGGAGTTGTAGCACGAGCGAAGTTTGGGGCTCCTGGTTGTGGCTGTTCTTCCACCGCGACGGTAATTATATTCTATCGACAAACACTGTCGCCCAGCACCCCTCTATCTAACGAAGAAACGTGCCGCATTACCCAGTCCGTTTAGGTCGCAAACTCGTGGTTGGAAATCACGGCTATAATTAAGCTGACAGCATCACGTCATCCCGACCGTTCCCCTGACTTCTAAACAAAGCCTGCATCCTTTGTGCAGATGGCGCGATAAATCCCGCCAGCTCGACTAGGAACCGCGCCCTCCGCTTCTGCCACGTATTTCTTGTGTTATTTACCTCAATTCTATTTTAAATGTTCAATTCTCATGACTCTGATATTAAACTACAACTGAACAAGTGTCAAAATTTCCAAAAGAGCAATTAACATTTGAAATCGCCATACACTCACGTGCAATATTTAAACAGCAAAGAATTCTCGTGTGAGATTAAGATTGGACATCAGATAATTTATGTGGTGGAAACATTCATCAACAAAATATTTACATGAAAAAAAAACTCGCAAAGATTTGTAAAAACAAAAAGATCTGGTGTGGAGTAAAGCTGGTGCGGACAAAAAATTACGTGAGGTTAGAAACTGCAGAGCATGAAAATTTACATTCAATTTAAATTATACAACAAAAAAAATACTGAAGTTATAATTGTGAGATAGAGAAAAATTGCATGAGGTGAGAAATTGCAAAGCTAACAAAAGTACATGAGGTTAATATTTGCCACACTTTATCAACAAGAATTTATATTATGTTAAATGATGCCATGATCCAAGTGATTGGTTACTTAAAATAATCATATTATCCTCCTAAGGAGAGAAATCCTTAATCCCCCGTACCTCAGTCCACGATATCATGAATTCTGCCGCAGTTTTCTATGCTCTTTTTCTATTAGCAACCTTGTGTGAAGAATTAAGAAGTGTTTTAATGTAACCTTTAAGTTAACCATCCAGAAACTTATTCATAATTACAAAAACAAAGAGTATTATCCTGACTAAGTAAATTTCATGAAATTTCCCAGCAAGTAATTTATTAAATTGTGTTAGCACTAGTTAAGCTTAACCTAGCTAACTCACCACGTGGTTTTCACTTACACCACACAACACACCTAAAGTGACCGTCACCACCCTCTACCAAGCAGCCTTCTTCGATCAGCCCTCTCACTTCGCTCTCCAGCAGCCATTTTCTACAAACCCTCTAACTAGAATTCCCTAGCGAGCTACCAACTACCCAAAAAGCGTTAACGTGCATATGGTTGCCTATGTTTAACTATTTTTTTGATTGCATTTTTTTTATTCAAATTCAAATTATTCAAATGTGATTTCGCGCCGTTGTAATTTTTTTTTTTGCGCGCGAAATTTTAATTCAAATTCGGTCACCACAGCGTTGTTTGATCATTCCTCTTTTGACAAATAATATAATAACACAACAAGAATTGGTTATTTCTCTAAATACTGCAATTTTATTTGCTAATGATTTTTGTGGTGGACAACCGAAGCTGTTTTTACCGATTTCGGTGCAGCAACACCCTTAAATGAATCTCCTGTATCTCCAATAGGTGCACCGGGTATCTCTCACTGTTTGAATATTTTTATATATTCTTTTATAAACGTAAATAAGAAAACTGATTTCTTTTTCTTTAGGTACTTCCTTCTGCATAGAAAAATGTTTCTTTTATAACCTATAGGTGCGGAATTCTGACAGTATACTACCTACTGTCTGTAAAAACGTCACATATTTTCTTTTGGGATTAAAGTAGTTTTTTCACCCCGGAGAGTAATATTTTAGACCCACGAAACTGAATTTTTGCTACACTTATACATTTGAAAATAATGATATTGGAAGCCTGGTATATACTTTCCGATCGAGCTCTGTAACGGTAAATCGACTTTTCAACATTTTGATAATAAATATTAATAAATTTGCTGATGGTAATTAGCACGTTTTAATTAACTTTAGCACTTATTAACAACATTCAAATTAGAATTTATTATTAAACACGCAAAGGGCAAATTTCATTTCCTTTGAATGTTATTATTTTATAATTTCTCTTAAATTGGAAATTTTTCAGATCCTGAATTCAAATTGAACTCGTGTCAAATACCTGATACTATAGTTACCATCAGAATTATACGTATAATGACGCCCTTCGGAAAGCATGTTCTGTGTATGCTTCAGAATATTCAAGCTTGGAAAACGTTGGATATTACAATTCTAGTGTCACCGTACTTCATAAGCTCGACCTGCTTTTAGATTAATCTGCATCAACACACCATAAATACACGAAACAAAACAAATTCATAACTTTTACCCTCACAATACCTTTCGCAATGAATATTAATTTTTAATTCAATTATGCCAGTCATAGAAAAAACTACCCTCGAGAAAAACCCGCTCTCAACGCCCACTTTATTAAAAACCTAAGCCCCCACAGGACCCACCACCACTTCATCCACCTTTCCGTTAAACGCTGACCCGTAAAACAAAAACACACTTATTATTATTCCCTCCGGTTGTGACATTTCAGGGACGACCGACTCGTTCCGCTCCACATCCGAAAATCCCGAGCACGAATCGACCATCCAGAAGGCCTTAGCATGGTTAATAACCCAGAGAGAGAGCAACTGGGGTTGGCGGAACGACACCCCCAAAGCGCTCACCGCCCTCCAACTGGCTTCGTACGACGACCTCGGGGTCGCCTTCCCCAACCTAATTGAGATGCAGCTCTCCACAAAGCAGCTAGAGGTCGAGATCGTGGTTCTGTTGTGGAGGCACCACGAGGTTCCTATTACGCCACCGAAGCTCGCACAGTAAGTAGAAATTTGTTTGTATCGCGGGTAAAAAGGCCGGTTACCGCACCGCAGGTTTTTACGCGGCTGCTTGACTGTCAGTGTGAAGGGGTGGAATAAATCAAACATCCTGCCAAAATGGCGACGGGCCAAATTGCGGCCATAAATTGCGATCGTCGTGAGGTGGAAAAGCTACGTTGTGTTTATAAATGGCGGAAGATGAAGTAGAGGTGTAACTGAAGGAAATATAACACATCTGGGGGAGAGTAGAGCGATTGGTCATTTATTTAAATTAAATGTACAATGTTTGATTCAATTTGGCATTTACTGGTTTTAAATAAATACATAAAACACAGTGTAAATTAACAGTTTAAATTTTAACAGTTTTATTACAACATAGCACTAAAAAATCCAAGTAATAAAGATTCATCTATAAGTATATAAAGATTTGGTTCCAACAGGATGGTGGTCTCCCTCATCGTGATATTACCATTAAATGTTACAAGGTGCCGCTTTTGGTGGCAGAATCCCTCAATATCTTGCCAGAGCAAAAATAGGCTTCGATAATAAATTTATCTCCCACATTTTTATGTATCCTTTGTGACTTAAAGAAATACATGTTAAAATTTGATTCAGTTTGACAACTAATTAACAAATTAATTAATTTACCAAAAAGTCAAATAAAGTGACACAATAAATTAATTTCACAGCCCACTAGATGCAAATCCTTTATTAACACCCTGTATTTGCACAATATTTTACTAAATGATGGATTGGAAGGCGGGGATTTACAGAGCGATTAGTCAGATTTTAGCAGACTCAACACAACGAGACTATCTGTTGTAGCGTTAGCATAATTTAGAAATATAAGGAGTGAGTCACAAAGAGCGCGGTCCTTGATATCTCATTAATATTAGAGACAGAAAAAAGCGTCAAAAAAAATTGCACGGTTCTTTGGACTATACTATAAAATAATTTTTAACTACACAGAGTGCTCTGTTTTTTTAAGAAACACCCTATTTGAAAAAAACAAATTAAGATGTAGTAATAAAATACAGGTGCTCCATTTGGAAAAACTGGAATATCGATAATTGAAGCTTATTGTGGCGGCACAATAACACATTGGTAAGCGGAGAAAGATAACCGGCCTCGTGGTCTAGTGGTCAAAATACCTGCTCGGCAAGCGGGTGGCGTGTGGTCCGATTTCCACCGAGGCAACAACATTTTTCTTACCTACACTTGCAGTAATTAAAAAAAAATATATATAAACACTGGGTCCAATGATTTTCCTTTCGATAAGTTCGCTTTTATTGACCTTTTGAAGAGCAATTTACAAAGCTAAAATTTTACTGCATTTTTTGTAAACATTTTTATTGGTAAAAAATTTGAAAAAAAAAATGGAATAAATGGCAACAATGTATCGGAATTTCAAAAATAAGCTGCAGACCTAAGACATATTTGATTGAGCTAAGAAGAGGTCAATCAAATATGTAAGAATATATACGCTGATTTTATTAAAAAACAATAATTTCGTGTAATGCCTTAAAAACAGAACACTTTGCATAATTAAAAATAATTTCAGAGTATAGTTCTTAAAGAACTGTGCAAATTTGGTTTTTGACTTTTTTCTACTTCTAATAATAATTATTATTATTGAAGTGTGGAAGAACTCGCGCTTAGTGACTCACCTTGTATATCTATCATTTTATATTAAGTTATAATTTTTGTTAAGGTACAGACAGTGTCAAAAGCCTTGACATGTACGATTGTTTCTCTAAAAGTGTTTTTTCTGTCCCAGCATAAACCAAGGAACTATTGTAAGAGGTTAGCTTAGTCAAGTGACATCAAGTTAGGTCAGATCAGGTCAGCTCAGGTTAGTTTTCCCGGCGTTTCATAGCTTCTAGAATACAAGAAAGTACATGTATTTATTCAAATTTTGTTTGTTTATATCCATCAAAAATTCGATGGCGTCATCGCAAAATTTTTTCTACGTGAATCCCATTTAAACTTTCTAAAGTAATATACTACTACAGAGTTCTATAAATGATTCATACTTTGTACCTAAATATATTTGTGGTTAATTTTTTGCTTCCAATTTGTTTGAAAATAAATCAAAATTATAGAAAATTTGAAATGTTGCAAACGTTTTATCGTAAACATGGGCATCGATAATCAGAATTTCTTATAGTCTGTTTGCCTCCAACAATAATTTGATGACCTCATTTCAGAATTTTGCTGAATTTCATAAGACATGATGCTTCAGTACTTGTGAATTATGAATTCACTCCAGTTTTTTACTATTTCAGTCATTCAGAATTATAGAGGAAAATTTTTAGAAAATACGAAACCGACTGCTCTAAAATTTTGAAAAGTTTTAAAGTTGTGATAACCCAAACATCCCGCCTTAAATTGACATGTGAACAAAATTTTAAAAGCCCGCGAAAAATTCAAAAATTTGGCCGGTTGAAGACCCCCCTTAATACTCAAACGTTCTGAATCAATGCAAATATTTGAATAGCACAAATTCAATGAAAAAAAAACAAAGAAAAATCTAAAATAAAGTAACTGGATGCGAATATACAAGTTATTACGAGCGTGTGAAGGTAAATTTAAAATTGTGGCAGTCAACAAGAGAACAAAATTTTAATAAAAAAAAACTCTATACAGCGGCAGGGGCAGCGATATAAGAGTGTGGCGATCGAACTATATCAATTTCATTCTAGAGCACAGCAAAAATACCCATAGGGGGCGTTGTAGCTGTAGCACGAGCTGAGTTTGGGGCTCCTGGTCGTGGCTGTTCTCCCACCATGACGGTGATTCTAATTTATCAGCAAGCACTGCCGCACAGCAACCCTCCACACGGAGATGCCGTACGAGCAGGCCGTTACGGTCGTAAACTCGAGGTTGGGTCTCGGCTAGTGAGACAAGCCGACAGCGTCACGTCATCCCGACCGCCCCTGACTTCTATTCAAAACCTGCATCCTTTGTGCAGATGGCGCGACCGTCAGCTCGACAAGGAACCGCGCACTCCTCAATTCCATGTTCACTTTCTATGACTGATATTAAACTACAACCGAACAAGTGTTAAAGTTTCAAAAGAGTAATAAACAACATTTAAATTCGCCATACACTCTCATGACATTTTAAACACCAAAGAATTTTTATCTGAGATTAAGATTGGACATCAGACAATTTCTATGATGGAACAATTAATCAACAAAATATTTACACGGGAAAAAACTAGCATATTTATAAAACAAAAAAATCTGGTGTGATATAAACTTGTGCAGACAAAAAAAATTACGTGAGGTTAGGAAAATTTACGTTCAATTTAAATTATACAACAAAGAAAATGACTAAGGCTAAAATTGTGAGAGAGAAAAACTGCATGAGGTGAAAAATTGCAAAGCCAACAAAATTACATGAGTTTAACGTTGCCCCAATTTATCAACGATTCAAACAAAGAATTTAAGTGATGTGCAATTATGCCTCGATCCAAGTGACTGGTTACTTACAACAATTAGCTTTGAGAGTTTATAACGTGGACTGTCCCCAGTTTAACCCAAACAAAACACTTGATAAATAAACACAAAATGCATTCACCGTCGCGAGAAATGCTTGTCGGTGGTGTAATTTCCAATGTCGCGAGAAAATATGTCTCGAAGATTTGATGATAACAATGATAACTGCCCAAGGGGAAAATTTAATTCCCCCGACCCTCAGTTCACGATATTATAAATTCTACCGCACTTTGCACAGTCCTTTTCCCAAAATGGGAAAACGTTCTTAGGTTAATCTTTACTACCGTAAATGAATTATTAACAATCTTGTGTGAGGAATTAAGAAGTGTTATAATGTAACACTTTGTAATGTATAACAACCAGAAACCTTATTTTCAGCTTGATAAACATGAATGTCATGAAATCTTCTAGCAAGTGCTCTATCTACCCAATCTCAGGACCGTTGTGTTAGAACTAGTTAACGATTAAAATCCTAACATGAACTGTGAATTTACAAACAATAAAACAAATTTACACCACGTGTTAGCGTCGGTCGAAAATTCGCATATTTCCGATTAGAAAAACAGCAATAATTAGCTACGCTTGTTGGGGAAAACTGTGGCATCGCAATCGGTATATTTAATTTTCGTTAAACAAAGGCTCTTTCCTTTTTTTCTAACTGCCAAACCAAATAAACTTAATCTAGCTTTCCTACCGCGTCGTTTCACTCCCAAAACAAAACAACAGTGACGCACCACCTACCCTCTAACAAACAAGTGAACTTCATTACCAACCTTCTCACCAGATACTATCCACAAATTCCCCTAGGAGAGCTAGCAACTACCAGAAAAGAACTAAACGTGCACTGCACATTGTGGCCTGTGTTTAACAATTTTCTTGTTTGATTTTTTTTAATAATTCAAATTATTCAAATGCGATTTGGCGCCGCTGTTTTTTTTTTCAGCACGAAGTTCGAATTCAAATTTGGTCACCACAAAGTTATCGTGCACATGATAAAACACCAATGAAAATTTATCTTTTATCCATTCTAAAATGCTCTAAAATGTACAAATTATACTTTGTACCTACCGTTTATCACCAGACCTATTATAGTTCCGCCATTTTTTTAGAAGGAAAAACTGTTGCAATAAACTATATAAGGAATGAACTTCTCCAGCTCTCAAAAATGAAATCAAATGTTATAAATTTATACAAATAGTTGAATATTACAAATTTAAACAAGCAAATAAAAATCGGTTTCGGGACCGACGGCTCTGATCAAGGCGATCGAACCCTCCTCACTTTTCAACTTTATGCTGTTACGAGAATCACTAAAATTCCCCGTGATAACATTCGCCCAATTGACCAATGACTTTCACAGAAAACTGTTTGCTTCGACATCCATTTTATAGAGGTGACCGTATTACGTTGAAATACACCTGAAGATCTAAAAAATAAATTACTGAAACTGCAACACTAACAAGTGTTCGTAGCAAGCTCTTCATGCAACAAAGAATTTACGTGGTGTCAAATTGTGAAACACTTTATCAACACCTTCGAACAATAGGAATTAATACATGGTATGCAAAAATACAATAATATATACATCAGTAATGAACTAATGACTAAATCAAAATAAGTTCATCAAAAATTCATCGTCGGCTCAAAGAATTCACACATCACAGAAGACAAGGCACATACCTATTAAATGCAGATCAACATAATAATTCAAGAATAAATGTTCAAATTCAAGCTGACACAAAAAAAAACACAACACGCCTTACTAGAGTGAGTGCTTTTCTGATTTTACTGGTTCAGATAAACACCTATCAGAATTTTAACTTTCTACTTTTCGCCGAAAGAGTTTATTATTTGATGTGCTAACTCCCAAAGAATCACATCTATCTACAAATGAGAATTATTGTGTATTAACAACTGTGTTTTGAACTGAAACATCAGCTAAAGTAAACAAATAAACAATATCTAGAGGGTGTTATCAATACGAAGACGGATGTTTACGTAAACTTACCTTACGTGGCGTGGTTTAAATAGTAAAATTTACCACCATTTGGTCGAAAATCGAATGCTACAACACGATGTTCCCCTAATTAGAATCATTACTACGAAAATAAGAACATCTGCATTGCCAACAATTAAAAAAACTGCAATACTGAGATTTATTAACAAATACCAACTATTCAATAATTAAAATACAAATTGTTTTCCTTTTCGTTTTTATTTTTGAAGGAACTATTTCTCTAGAGTTTGCAGCGTCGAAACATTGTTCTCTGAAACAGAAAAGAAGTGTACTTAATCCGTATATCTGTAGGTTCAATATGTCCACCCTTTTGTGTCTACATTTTAGTTTTCATAGGTGTCTTTTTTCAACACAGTTTTTCATTAATGTCAGTATTTAAAAATAGACCTGACTTATCTGGGACCCTTTAAAATTAACAGTAGCACAAAGTTTATTATCTAGACATTCTAAGACAACGGTAGTAGTTTCCAGAAACAAAATCAACGTCGAGTCTAATTTACACTAGCACAAAACAGAGAAACCGTTCTTAGAAGATGCATTTCCTCCCTATCTAATCAATCTATCAAGGAATAGAATATAAAATTCACATCGTGATAAATGACTTCCAACAAACAATAAAACGTTCTATATCCAATCCAGATATGCGCTCGCTTTAAGCGCCCTCTGTCACGACCCTCGTCAATTCCACGGCCACGACCTCATCGGTTCCCTGCAACACCACGAAGCCATCCAAGACCTAGAATTCGCATATGCCACTCTAGCAGCATGTAGTTCAAGGGCGCACGTTCGAAAGAAGCAAATCCGACGGTTATTGGACATCGCCAATACTGCGAAGGACCACAACATCGGTACGTTCCGGCCAATCAGAAACCACCACGTGTAACACTTATTTCCAGATACCGTCGCCATGACAATACTGGCTTTGAGATGCATCGTCAAAGACCACCGGCACAGAAACTTGCAACACTCGTTACGAAGGCCCAGCATCAGCTTAGCGCGACAGCAGCAACCTGACGGTGGCTTCGGAAACTTGTACAACACGGCTCTGACCATGCAAGTAAGTTAACAAAGACGCGCTTACACTATGCCAATGCTTGTTTTTAAGGCACTGCAAGACATGACAGAAGCCAGCTCCCACTGGAACAAAACGGCTGCGAAATCCTATATTGAATCCCGGCAGGACCCAGATGGCGCCTTCACCGACCCCGGTCTCACCTCCGACGTCATCCTGGCCTTATCCAATCGCGGCCTAGGCTCGATTCGAACGCTAGATTGCGGCAAAAACGACGGCGATATAGAGAATCACGGTTCGTAGCCACGCCTAGTTTTGCAGCCACAGATCTTAACTTTTTTGATTCAGTGGAAATCGACGGGCTGACCAAGTCGCTTTCAGTCCACGGCAACGACTCGGAGATTCGGAACGTTACCATAACTTATACATTATGGGTGGGTTCAAATGTGACTGAGAACTGTACCATCGCCATTACGGCACCGCGAAATACTTCCTTTTATTCTGTGATGCAAACAGCGATGGAATTAGATCCCCACTTTACTTTTGAGGCGTCGGAGTGGCCCAATGGGCATTATGTACACACGCTGGCTGGGTATAAGGAGGAACCAATGGGTTATCACTACTGGCTGCTGTATCGGCTGCCGGAGATACCCGATCCGAGCGCTCCGCCAGCCAATCAGCTCGTGGCTCCTGTAGGTAAGGAAAAATTGAGACTGTAGTGGTAGATATAAAACAGGGGGTAAAACAAAGCGAGCGAAGCCTTAAATTAAAATTCCCAACTATCAAACTTTGTGTGGTATATTTTATTCATAAATTGAAGTAATTAATGTTTCAAAACTCTACAGTTTGCTCTAATGGATTAATTTAAGTTTTAGCATTCACAGATCCGCCTCTGTGGAATTTATTAAATGTTTTATGAATTCAAACGTCCGCTTATCACAATAAATAAAATATGTTTGTTATTTTGTCGTCCCGCCCAACAAGTTTTAACGTCCAATTAAATTTAGATTTGTCCAGGTTAAAATAAATATAATAGTCACATAGATCACAACATAAATGTCATATGTTATTAATATTGCACTTATGTCATGAATGACAGCTGTGACACTGTTAAATAAAACAAACTAACTTTTGTTACAATTTTTTTTCATCGACTTCAGAATCGTTTTTTTTTTCTTGAAATGTGATGTTCTGTTAAAAATATATTTTACTCAATTGAAAAAGTCATCAAGTTGGATTTGATTTTTTGTAAACATGGTGAAATGTGTCTACAATTAGCCTAAAATTTAATCGATGCCAGCGTTTTTGACTACGTCTTCTTTTATTAAAAAAGCAACGCCAACTTTATGACTTTTTCGATTGAACACCCGTTATATTTTCAGTGTCGCTATTAAGCGATGACTTAGGGAAATATTGTAAAAAGATCATTTTGCCAAATATCCAAGATTTATTCAACGGGTAGTATTCGAACTATTTAATATGAAGCTATGTTTTTTATGCATTTTGTGTTGCCGTGAAGATGAGATAACTCTAATAGAATTTTGTTGGCTAATCCACTCCAAAGAATTAATGACGTCATCTCAAAAATTTGATAAGTAAATTCCGGTTCAAAATATGCCCTGAAATAGTGAGGTGTTTACATTTCAAAATTTCAAATAAATGTGAATAATCAAAAAAAAAGTATATACTTATGGACAAAAAATCTGTAATTTTTTTAAATTTTCATAATTTTTCACAGTGACGATTTAAATTACTTACACACGTTGTACTAGAAACGTTACTTTAGGTAAATAAGTTGTAAATTTTTATGAGAATGAAACTGTGACAAAAATTTTCTGTAATGAAAAACATAAAGTGTTAATAGTCCCGGACTCAGATTTTCGAAAAACATTTTTTTCCGTAAAAATAACTTTTTTTTTAAACGTACTAACACAAAATTACTCGTTTAACAAATACACAATAAACATCAAATGTTGTCATTGTCAACTGTATTGGGCAAAAAACCCAAACAGATCAGTGTAACCAACCTTTCTTCTATCAACTGGGCAGATAGAAATGGCCTGGACTGTATATTTTTTATTTTTGGAAAAAATCTGACTGCCTCATTTTAATTGTTCTGAAGTTGTACGTCAAATAAACCTCCCTTTCTTTTTAGCAACATCCTTTGTGTCACGTGTACAATATTATGACACTTTGATTTGGCACGTTGTTGACATTTGAAAATTTTGACATTTCGAAAAATTATTTATTTTGCTATTTACATTTTCGCAAAAAAAAATATCCTGTAATGTTCATTTTTGTAAATCACATGAGATATAGCTGAAAATTCATATTTTGGAAATTTAACTTTTCGTAAATTAGAAATTTGTTATTTTGTATTGATATTTTATTTTTCGTTTTAATTACTGTCATCATTTTTGACATTTTTTGTAGGATACGTCAAATTTATTCATTCATTTATTCAACTTTCGACTGAAAGAAATTAAATGGGTGTTTGCGTTTTGCTGACTGCAATAATAAATGTATTACTTATTCTCATCATTGGTTATTCGGATTTTTAAATTTATAATTCATTATAAAGTTTACATGGTGTCATAATACGAGAATATGGTTATTACAAATTTTCATTTGATATGAAAAAGTATTTATTAATAATTATGGTGTTGCTCTTTTCTATAACAATTAGTATTCAAGAATTTTCGCATAACATTATTTTCCTTACCACCTTACCCATATTTCAATGGAGTAATAAAAATAATTACATACCTCTATACTTTTACAATACAAAAGAAGTAAAAAAAATCGAAATTAATTTATTGAATCCTTGAATCGAATATCAGAGATCCGATTCTGCAGCGTTTGAGATATACGTTGACGCCAGGGCGTCCTGCCCCGCTTGAAGCAAGAAAACACAGATATGCAAAGACATGCATTTCGAATTCTTTACTCTCAATCACGTACATAGAAAATCGAACGGATGTCGTTGCTTACAATCAAGAGGGTGGACCAGGGTGGACTAGCCCATCTTCACATGAACCGTATAACGCCGAGATCTGACGCACTCTTTTGCAACTGCAATTTCTCAGTGGCGGAAACTGCGGCATGTAATGAAGAAAATTCGTTGGCTTAAATGATGTTTATGACGATAATTATTTGTGTATACACATAAAATAATTTAAAAAAGATAAAAATCAATACTTTACTTCGTATCGTAAACAATCAAATAGGGTGGACATTGCCCACCCTGCCCACCCCGAGGAGCCGCCACTGCTTATACACAACAATATGCATTTAAAAAAACACATACGTTTTAAACACGTTTTTTTTTTCTATCAAAAAACAACGCCAACTTCATGACTTTTTCAACTGAACACTCGTTATCTTCAATGTCAAAATATACCTACTTTTACGAAAAAACTGAACATTTTTAGTATAAACCGAGTTACAATTACAAACCTGTAATCATTAGGAACCTATTTATAGTAAATGAATTCGAATTAAATATATATATATATGAGTGATTAACCCGTGACCTGTTATTTCAAAATCACAAATCCATCAACATCGCAACTTCTTTGAAAATACAACCGACAACATTGTCAGTGCTAGTTTTAGTGATTTATTGTGAAATAGTTTAAGGTATTTCATTCCACTTTTATTGACAGTTTATGTCCAGTTTTAAACTTCAAATTGACAATCCGTTGAAAGAAGGTCTCAAACCTTAGAATAATTAAATTATATGACCAGGTTTTTTTTACACTAAATTGAAAAAGTGGTGCATTTTTGATTTTAGAATAAATTATATGTCATTCTTTAACCGATTCTAAACACCTTAATTTTCAATCCTTGACAATCTTTCTCACATTTCTTTAGCCAATCGTAAAAAAAAATGTTAAACACCTTTAAGTATTGTGATATTATTATTTTTAGTTTTGTAATTTTTGACACTGCGGGCACGGTGTAAACCTCAAACGTCAACATAACAATAAGGCATAAGGTACATCAAAATTTTCAGAATGTATGTAAATATGTTTTTAACAACTTTGACTTTTGACGATTTACTTTCAATTATTTAAACAAATACTGGTCAATCTGTTTTGCATAACATACCTAGCGACTATTGGTGTTTGTGATTTTTTTGTCAGGTTGACAATCGATTTAAAATTTTATGATGGTATACCTAATTGTCAAAGTGACATTTATGACAGCTGCCACCGTCTCAACCAATCAGCATGTTTATTAGACGTACTCATGCCACTCTGACAACTGTGAACTGATGTACTAACACTGATGCCAATAATTCAGGATTACCAACACAAAAATTTTCTTCAATCACTTAGGTTCATATTTAACTTTTCTGACACCACTACAGTATTTTTGATAAGTGTTTCTCATTGACAATTTTACTGTTTTATTTTTGATAAATTAACTGAATTAAAAACTTTTATAACATTCCAAGTTCATACGTTATATTTAAATACTTACTGTGTTGCATTATAATTAAAAAATGTCATATCCAATGTTCCTGCAAAAAAAAAAAACGAAACTGCCACATATCAACGCAAATTATCTGTCAAAGTCCATCAGATATAAAACGACAGACAGCAAACAAAAACAGAAAACTAAGCCAATGTAAACTTGAATTGAAAAAAAAACTGATATCATTAGGACCAAAGTAACAAATACTTCTTTACACTATTGACATTTGTAAAAAATGAGGTTAATACGAATGAACATTATTTTTATTATAAGCCCTGTTTTATTTCTTTTGTTCTTGTTCTTTTGTTTTGAAATTTTTCATTTTTCCATTTTGCAAATGACATACTTAACGTAAATATACATATTGATATTTTTTTGAGAATATATGAGTTGGGCTCGCTTCGCTCGCTTTGAATAACTTATTTCCACACCCTTGTTACCACGATTCTGTTTTCAGGAGTCGACGACTTACTTATTGAAGAGGGTGACCACTACTTATTCTGGTACAAAAAGCTCTAAGCCTAAGCACAACGTTCTGTATACAAAAAACCAAACCAACATCGCTTCTGTACGCCTTTTTCCTCTTTAGTTAGACGATGTTTGTGTGTCGTTGTTTATTTCCGCCACAATATACCGGGTGACTCGTTTTCGTTTCCTTTTGCTTCATTTCAAATCTCTAGAGGGCGCTTCGATCTGAAACGACGGAATTTTTGACACGAGCCACCTGTATCATCTCGGACTGTATTTTATACTGTAGCCTCACAATACACAGTGTGTTTTCTTTCTACTATTGTGCAGATAATAAATGTACAATACACTATAGGTGTGGTTGTAATAATTATAATGACATTAATAATTAATATTAATAATGCATTTTGAGGGGACAATACTTTGACATCTTTGTGTGACCTTTTTTATAAGTAGCTTAGGATCTTATTATTTATTCAATTGTTAATACATGGCAAAAATTGTTAAAAATTCTTTATTTTTGTTATATTTGGCTTAAAAGATTAATAATAAACACTTAAATACAGTGGGTGTTCACTTAATCCCCTTTTATGGATATTGTCTCGAGTTTATAACATGAAAAATATATTTATTGTTTAAACTATTAACAAAAGAAATTAATAAAATTATCCTTAATTACTTAGCTCAGGTGCTGAATCATCACTAGACATTACTATGGCGTTATCGTCGTCGAAGTCTTCGTCGTCTAAGGAATCAGGGACGTAGTCTTCGTCGTCTTCGTCATCCTCGTCGTTATCGATATCATCTACAACACACCAAAATACAATAAAAAATCTAGAAGATAACCTAAATAATTCGAGAGTACCGAAGTCATCATTCTCGTCACTCTCTTCATCAGGAGGGGCCACAAATAGCACAAATTGTGAATTTAGGTCCACTTCGTCATCATCAAAAGGGTTTTCTATAAGAATACCATTACCATAATCATAATCCTCGTCCATCAGATCGTCACTACTCAAAATCTCCCATCCTGGATTTCTAATAAATCCCCCCGCCCCCATCATCACTGACTACTTCTCCTGCTGCTCCTCCTTATCCTTCTTTCGATGCACGTTAACGAACACCTTCTTGCCGTCAATCTTAACAGCTTTCAACTCCTTGACACCCGCTTTGGCTGTCGTACTGTCAAACTCGACAATGCACCAGCGTCGAGATTTCTACAACCCAACAATCACACATCTCCCAACCCAATCCACCTCACTCACCTGTCGCGGCAAACTAACCCTCAGAATTCCCGGATGCAGATCCCTCACTTGTTGTTCGTCGGCAATCTTAACAGGTAAACGCAAATATAACTTCACGGGAGCACTTTTACCATCCGCAACTCTGCAAAGCGAAACCTAACCTCAATCTCGGAAAAGCGGAAAATCGCGAGAAACGGTGAGCAGTGTGCGCTTTTCAGTAAGGACGGGACACTGCGGTGGAAACTTACCCCATTATAAGCAGTTTGGCGAAAATATCAAAAATATTTGCCTAGCGAACATGAGTGGAAATAAAAACAAAATGCTTGTTTGAGATGCAGCGCCCTCTGGGCTGATCGGCGATCAGTTGCGAAATGGGAGTCACGTGGGTGAGTTTATGGATGCTGAAAATGGGTCTTGGCACAATTGTGGGTTGTGTAAGGCGAAAATGGGTCGGTTTTTCTGTTTTTGGGGCGCGATGGGAGCGAGCAGCGTGTGGAACAGGTGGCGTGGGACGGGCTAAAAATATTCGAAAAGTGGGGAAAAGCGTTCGTTAGGTGCCCTCACTCGGGGGTGTGGGGTTGGTTGCCTAAATAGGCTGAGCAACAGAGTAAAAAAAATCCATTATTTTTACAATAATGGCATGCGCATTAACTCATTTGGGACTCATTACGTCATGCGACAAGGTGGGGGGATTTTTCTCAGGTTCAAATGGCGAAACAACAATAAGAAGAGCACGTAAATATGACAACAATTTTCTTCGTGGATCTAGTTGGAATTGACCATATTTTATATGGATTTGACAAAATTAAAATACAACATGTATGTGAGGGTATATTTGAACAGAAATAGATGGCATTCATTGCTATTGTGTTAAATTTTAGTAGGATAAAGAGAATAAGAGGTAAGGCGTAACTGGTCCTTGTTCAAGATATAATTGACATTGTTAACTCTGCTTAGTGTGTCAAATTTTCAAAAACACCCTAAGCGTCCACCACGACCTGAGTAATGCATATTTAAGTGAAGATTAGTGATGCTAAATGATGATTATATGTTACCTTATTAATTGACATTTGTTAAGAAATTATAGTTATATGAATTATTAGTATGATAATTACACTTCTGTATAATACAAGCCTTTGACAGTTAGCTGCCTGTAGAAATAGATCTTTTAACTGTCGCCAATTTTGAAACATTATCTCAATTTTACAAACGTTTTGTTATAATTTATTAAAAAAAATGCGGAAGTATTGGTAAATACACTATTTTTGTATGCGAATAAAATTTTACAACCTCCAAGGTAAAAAGCTTGTATAATAAGAAATTACTTACCATACAGGGGCGTTTCTGCTCTACTCTGTGATGAATTTGATTGGAGGTCATGTATGTACCATTGGTAGACAAAAAATTTGGGACACAATTGGTACCTAGATAATCTTGAAAATTACAAGTTTCGAACGTGTAAGTTGTGTTTTGGTCCAGAAAATTTTCATTTTACGACATATGGTTGACACCAATGAAAGCATTTTGATTGACTTTTTGAAGAACAATTTACAGTGTTAAAATTTCCAATTTTTTTGTTGTTTTTTTTTATTTTCCGGAATACAACCCTGATAATTAAATAACTTTCAAATTGACTCTCAATAACTGTCAAGTCGACGAGGATCTTTATTAGACAGGTGGGTATAGAATTTTATTAGTATACTCAAATATTGGATATTTGATTGCCATCTACAGGCTGCATTTTAAGAATTTTTGGTCTCTGTAAATTTAGTTTGTCAGAATTTTTCTCATTCATTGGTAGCAATATTTTCCTGAATTTCCATTTTCTTTTTTTTTATTCATATTTGGTCTTTTCTTGAAATGTTTGAATAAAATAAGTACACTTTTTATTTTTTTAAGGACGTGGACAAAATTATGCAACGTAATATACAGAAACTATATTTTCAATTCGAATAAAATGTACAACGCAAGATATTGATTAAATACATGTAGGAAGTATCTATTTAATCAATGTCCAAGATCACAAGTCAAAAAAATTTAGAAATTTTAGGTTAAATTTTCTCTTTTTTTAAATTGACATAATATCGACATTGACATTGACTTTTTTTGTTGTCTGATAACAGGGAGTAAAAAAATACATGAACAAAAATTTTGTCATGGACAGGTCCCTACATTAATTTAATTGTGGATTTTAGATGATGACATTAATAAACTTTTTGATAAATAAATGGTTAAGATTCAGATTAGTTCTATAGCTCTAACAGTCTGTAGATTACTTACATTTTGTATTATGATTATGCTCTTTTAAATTAAATAATATGATAAATTGAAATCAGTAATCATAATGATCATCTTGTAAATATTGATTGATCATCAGGTCCTACATACTTTTATCACCATTTTTTTTTATCGCATTTGCAACATGTTTGCTATAAAATATAATAAATTATAATCACAGGCAGTAATGACGTTGTTTTACATTGCTGATTCATACTGCTAACAACAAGAATTAGTACATAACAAAATATTTTAGACAAATGACCAAAGTTTCGAAATCTAGGGATTTTAGACGGGCAAAGTGACACTTTGTTAGCGCCGTTAGCGGAACTTGTCCATTTTTAGTCGGTTTTCGGTAACGTTGTCCCAAACATGTATGAGCTAAACGTGATTACTCAAATGTACAAAATAAAAACTTTCATTGGGTTCCTGAGTCAGGTAAGAAATTCATGACTAATTCTAATTTGCTTTCTCAATAGTTATACATATTGTTTTCGTATCGTGTATAAAATCTCAAAAAAAACACGTGCTTTGTAATGCGTCACCACTTGCAAATTGCACTTTTCTGGTTACAGTTGCTATTTTTTAATTATCTGTCTCTATAAAACTTCCATTGTATATTATTCGAGACATTTTTCTATTGTTTAACACTTCAAAAAGCATGGGTTTCATTTTTTTGGTTATGGCGGGAATGTTGACCAAGTGATTTTTAATCAATTGTTTTGAAGGAGTATATAATTTGTGAATAAATCTTATGTTTATAAGTGAAAGATTTATAAAACACTATTTATATTTCATATCGAAAATTAATTTAAAAAAAAAGTGGTCTATAAACCTACTACAATATTAAACTTAATTGACATAATGTATATGTGTCATGGACCTGTCTTTCGGTGATAAAGTAATAATAGTTAATTTTAATTGCAAACCACACACTACCGGCACTACCAACTGCAATTTTATAAACAAAGTCACCTTCAACTTCTTTTTTTATCGCATACTTACCATTGAACCTTATTTTAAATTTAAAATAGTAAATATTCTGCATTTGCACATTCATTAATTAACTGGCAAAATATATAAATAGCTTGCAAATCATTTGTTATTTACTTTATTAAACAAGTAATACTGGTTTTTAATTCTTGAAAATGGGCTTGCTAATCTGAGTATAAATGAGTTAATGAAGTATTTTTTCATTAAGATGTGTTTATTTCAAGAACAACAAGAATCCAATAAAAATTTAAAACCAACTATAAATGTTTTTTCGAATAACTAAGCATTGTTAAATCAAAATATTTCTGGCAAACTCAAAAATTAGTACAGTTGTAAAAACTGTCTAGTCCATAAAGTGAAAATTCTTGCAGTGGAAACGACAGTAATAATAATCCAGTAATTATTTTCTGTGTTCTACAGTACTGATAACGTTTCAGAATGCGCCCTGCATTTGAATTTTTCGTTTCAGCATAGTCACCCGACTTCACAGCAAGCCATTGCGAAAATTTTCCCCTTGCGTTTACTGGTGCACGTTACGTCATAGCCCCGTGACAGCACCCGATGAACAAAAATCAGCGCAAGAACTGACCTTTCCTCCTTTTCTGTCGCGGGATCGCTCCAACGTTCGCAACGCAAGCAAAAACCGTACTTTTCCGTACCGAGTGTGATTATCCGCTCCGATTTTCTCTCTAACATCTTTTTTTTGCAGCGAGCAATAAATCGTCTCATTTTTTCGGCACCCATGGTGGCGCTAGCGTCGCACGTGACCCGAATTTGACGTCACCGCCGCCATTTTGACTGTCACAAGGACGTTGTCTAGTGTTATCGTTTACGAAACCGAAAGGGTGGCATATTTATTTACCAATTCGGGTTATCTCTGTTATCTTGTAATCAGTGCGATGTCGTGGGACGTGTGAAGTTGGCCCAACTGCCGGATTTCGACCAGTGAGTACCGCTTACATTGGTAGCACAGTTGCGTTTTCACCTGCATTTGACATTTCACAATTTCCACAATGTCCGGATTTTTGCTAGTTTTTCCGTGACTGTGGCACGGATCTCGCCGCCGAGGAGCCCGAGTGCACCCCGCGCCAGCCCGCAAGGGGGCCCCGAGTGAGTGGCAGTTGTTACTAGATAGCCTTCAGCGGAGTTGGGGCAGAGCCGCGGGCTTGCTCTCCTGTCGTACCATTGTAGCACCCATGAACCCAGTGCAGATGCTTGAACCAGCTAAGCCCACCAGCTTTGTCGTTGAGCAGTCGATATCTTTGAACTCCAGATAACAGAGGCAATCAATAGCCCCGATAGTGTCACTGAAACAATGATAAAGACAGACCGGCCTCCAGTCGTGTCAAGGCTTTCCCGATTTTCGCACAGACAATGATAAGACGTTTTCTTTTTTCCTTTTGGATGTGTGCCAGTTTGCACCGTAAACACGCTTGCTTTTGCCATAAATTTGACAATAATCAAAAGAGGAGTTTAAATTTGCACTGCTAAATTTATAGATTTGTGCACGCGGAATATAAAAAATAGCTTGTTTGAGTTCCGCCCCCGCGCCGTGGGGGCGGCTGCAATCAAGCACACTTTATAAATTGGCGCATTGCGTCTAAGGGGGTGGGTTGGCCCCTGGCGTTTAATTGGTATTAATAATTTTGCGCTCATGCCTCATAATTGCCCACTTTTAATTAATTAACAATTAAAAGATTGTTAATTGATGAGTTTGAAGGTCGCTGATTCGGTGCTAGGTTGATGTTTGGAGTGCGACAGGGGGTCTGTCTGGGACCTTCCACAATCGCAATTGCCACAGCGATTTTATAAGAACGCCAGCGACCCTGAGAAGAGGCATTAACTTTTTTTGTGCAGTTATTATGGGACCTTGACTATTTAATAAGGTTTTATTCCTTGTCGTTTCATTGGGGTGATTTTCTCTGCAGCCCTAATAAAATGGAAAGCGACTACGTAATTTATTGATCAAGTCTGTTGTTATTCCAATTTTTTTGCCGCGAATCGATTGTCATATCAAAAATCTGACGAAGAGTTTTCTTTAATGGATAGGAATAAGTAAATTGATTTTTCAATATGGATATGAGGATTACATCATACAGGGTCATGAATTAAGTGCATCATTTTTGCATTGGAGTTTACGTAATTGTGATTTATGGCCATTTAATTGATAATGCAAGTGTTGCTAGGAATTCGTGTTTATTTTGAATGCTTAATAAGGTTGAATTTATTCCGGGGAAATACATTTATTTCGCTTGGTTTTTTGGATGATTTTAAAAGAGTAACAAGGTCTTATTTTTGACAGATTATTGAAAAGTCGTGTGTTATTGTTAACATAGCAGGTACGAATTAGCGTTCAAATTTCAATTATTTTCACTCAGCCATTTCAAATTGATTTTACTGCACCCACTTCATGGAATTTCGCCTCAAGACCGATATATAATGATAGTAGAAGAATTTAAATGATAATTTCACGTCAAGAGACAAGTAGATTGTGTTCCTTTGTTGCACGAAATTTTCTGGTCTTAATTTGTTACGTGTTGATTTAGCGAGATTAAAAATAAAATGATCAAAATATACAGGGTGTATCACTAGTGCGAAGTTTTTTAATGTATTCTAAGTCATTTAAAGTACAGAAAGTGAAACACAAGGGCAAGTTCATATTCTAAGAATATTTTCGTCTTAATTTTTTCAAACAAATATATGTGTATAGTAACATTTTTAGAGCTGGATTTACGATCTCGATATCTTCTCGCGTTATTAATATCGTGAGCTATGAAATAGCAACATTATTAACAAATCCAAGAATATCAAGTGCAATGAATTTTAAGAATTACGGAACTCGGTAGATGTTATCTTAACACAATAGGAAAAACCAGTTTATTGAACACTTTTATTTTCACGCTATTTCGTAAAATATCTTGTGTTATAAAGCCTACATCTTGTGAAATTGTTGGCTATCGCTGTGATATATGGAAACCAGTATATAGTTTTACATTCGTAAATAAACTGTAACTTGGTTGCTTCATTCTTATTATATTTATTCATTAGTAAATAAAACAATCCAAGAACAAGGTAATATTTTTCATTTAAGATTTATTTAGTAACTTTTTGACATGACGTCTTCAGCTTCTCGGAACGGTGTTATCTAATACTGAGATAAACTGCAAAATTTAATGGTCTAAACTTAATTTTGTTCGGGCAGTCGTATAAAACCAAAAACGGTGGTCTATTTATTACCTGATGAACAGATAAATATGTCATAAATATCCAATAGAATTTTATTGTTATAAAAATTGTACACAGATTCACAATAACAAGTTTTGAAACGAGAAAAACAAAGCCGCGTGACTCGTATGAGAAAATTAAACCATATAAGTAGACATTTCTACGGAATTAGAATGAACTAGTGCGGTAAGATGAGAGCACGACCTTACTTACGAGGTATTTGTCACATTATAAGAAATTATGCAGACGGCGAAAGTCAGGAAGGTGATAATGATAATATACTAGGAGGAAATATGCTTCCTGGATTAAGATCAACTAAATTAAACCAAATCAGGAATATTGAGATGGTTTAGTTTAATTTACTCTAATGAATACAAGAAAATCGACTGGTGTGGAAACATACAAAGTTTGTCTGAGAGAGTGGTGATAATCAAAATAGGTAGCAGAGATGATGTCAACATTGTTTATTTATTTATTCTTTTTAATATGCGTATTGTAGGCTGTGTCCGACAATGATGTGTTCATTACAATTGCGATATTTTAGAAATATTATTTTTAAATGTTGATATAATGGACGTAAATATTTGACACTAAAGTTAACATACTTAAATTAAATAATAGTTGATTCTAGATTTTCATCATCTCTATAAATTTTTGAAATAAGTACGTAGCAAATTATGTGAGAAAACATTAAAAAGGATTAAAATATTGTGGTGTTTTTGCAGTAATCTAATTTTAGGAAATTGTTCACGATAAGGGCCGATAAGCGTTTGCAATTTGCAGTGTCAAGGCAAACTGAATTGGGTTTGCAAATTGCAGATCCTTATCGAGTTGGTGAATTACCTAATTGGTATTTTTTATCAGTAGTTATTTGATGTATTAGTGACTAATATTTGTGACGTTTGGGCCAGGTATTCCCTAACAAATTCCCCGAGTTGTAAAAATGTTTGGTTTTGATAAAAGACGCATATTAAATATTTGTAATGAGATAGAGCAATTGGGTACGATTTTCCTTGGTTATTTTCTAGATAAATAATGAAAGTTGTGGTGAAATATTGAACAATTAATTAATTCGTGACCAAAAAGACAGCCATTATTTTTAAGTTTTACTTGGGCAAATGCTAAGTTTCATTTACTGTAGTTATTTCAATAACGTACTTTCTTTTTAAGAAATTAGAAAATTAAAGTATTTATGTATATCTATACTTGTTGCAGTTGAATAAATAAATAAGAAAAAAATATATAAATAAGTTACAGGTGAATTAATGAATAGTTTTATCATCAAAAGAAAGTTTTAATTTTAAAAATCTTATAAATATGAATTCAAGATTATAGGAGGAATCGCCACGTTTGGCTCCTTGTTGAAATTTTTTCGTCATGTATTTTTAAAAATCAATATTTTAATTATTTATGAAAATTTCGGAATGCGGTTTCCACCACTTTTTTCAGCTTACAAAACTTTAGAAATCGTACCAGATACATTATCGACTTCGTGTTGGAAATGAGATATAGTAAAAAGAAACTTCTAGCAGCTTCTCCACACAAGCTTCTTTTTACTGGATCTAGTGTCCGACCCAAAAAATCGACAATGTGTCGGGTACGATTTCTAGAGTTTTCTCGACTGAAAACACTGTTGAAAACCGCGTCCCATAATTTTCCATTAATAATTAAAGAGATTGGTTTTTAAAATCGGAAATTTGGGAATACAATACTGTTTAGAAGTGATTTTTTTTTATATTTATATCAGGGCTTGTTTTTTATATTTTACTACTTTGTAATCGTTAATAATAATATCGTACTTTATGTACAGAATTTGGTTCAAAAATAAATTTTGGAAACACTTGAAAAACTAAATCAAATGTATTTTCGCTTAAGGTACAAAGTTCAGTCTCAAATTAGAACTATTTAATGATTTACTTCGGTTGTAACAATGTCGGTTACATAGTTTTTATGAGTGTTTTTGAATCCCATCATTTTCACTTTTCTCCAATAGTTTGTTTAATTTAGCTACCTTACTGTACTATTTTTTTATGATTTTTTTAACCACAATGTACCACATTAACAAAATTTAAATGTTCGAAAAATAGAGAAATCGAAGAATTGAAAAAATAAAATCGAGAAATTTAAAATTTAAAAAATGTGAAAATTAAAATATTCAAAAATTGAAAAATTGAGCAATCGAAAAATTGAAAAATCGACCAATCAAAACATCGAAAAATTAAAAAACTAGACATTCAAAAAATCTAGAATTTAAAATTCGGAAAGTTGAAAAACCAAAAAACCAAAAACACGAGAAATAGAAAAATTGAAAAGTCCAAAAAATCGAAGAATTGAAATTAAAAAACCCCAAAACTGAAATAATCAAAAATTGGAATATTAAAAATACGAAGGAAAATTGAAATATCAAAAAACTGAACAATCGAAAAATTCAGAAATCGAAAAGTTTGAAAAGTCAAGAAATCGAGAGATGGGAAAATAAAAGAATCGAGTCAAAAAATTGATTAATCCAGAAATTGAGAAATCGAAAAATCGAGATGTTAGACGCACCAAAAACTGAAAAATCGGAAAATTTAATAATGAAAAAACTGAAGGATCGAAGAATTGCATGTCAAAACTGGGAAAAATTGAAAAATTAAAAACATGCAAAGTCGAAAAATCAAAAAATCGATTAATCGAAAAGTCGAAAATTTAAGAACGCCAAAAATTGAAAAATTGGGAAG